TGTTGGAAAAGAGTTACTGAATATCTTACAGACTGCCAAAAGAACAAACAAATATGGCTTGAAGAAAAGCGTGCTTCTTGGAAGCAAGGATGGTGAAGCTTCATTTCAGAGACTTTAGGCATATTTCCTCTTCTTTGGCTCTGGTTGTTGGTGCATATATCTGAATGATAGTGATATTCACTCGACTTCCTTGTAAGCGTATGTATGGATATTATCCTGCCACTCACAATGTTGTACTTCAAGATGGATCTAGAAATTACTTTTTTAACTATGAAAGCAACTCCGTTTTTTCTCTCCTTTTCATCTCTGGAGTAATATATCATATGATCATCTGACTCAAAATGTCCCATGCTGGTCCATCCCATCTCTCCAGTGCTTAGTATGTTAATATTTATACATTCCATTCTTTCTTAGCAATATCTAATTTTCCTATATTCATGGTTCTCACATTCCATGTTCCAATCACTAGTGTCTGCTTACAACTGTTCCTCTTCCTTTGTATTTCCATACTTGAAAGTTCTACCTCAGTTGCCCTCTCTGTTAGTCTACATGTGTTCTGTTGTACATAGGGTTTTCAGAGGCCTGCTATTTCAGAAGTGGATGGCCAATCCTTCTTCCTAGTCTCCCTTAATCTGAATGTTCAGATTTAGAGGAGTATCTGACAGACAAGCAATTGATAGAACAGTGCAAGATACATCCCTCATTGTGGAGTTAACCATTAGTTACAGTGTTGTCCCTGTCCTTGGCCCAGTGTCTTGATCCACTTATTTCCCAGCTCCACCCTCCACCAGGATACCTCTTCACTTCTACCAAATCCCTTCAGCATTTATCTTCCATTGTCCAACCCTTGATCTGACAGCTTGTATCTGAAGCTTTCTTGGCTTCCGTGATTCCAAACGTCAGCTGCTGACAAAAAAACCCTGCTATTATTACTAATATTATTATTCGTGGTGGTGGTGGAGGCTGTTGTTAACAGATTACCACAAACTGGGCAGCATAAGATAACAGAAATTTCTCCTCCACCCAAAGGCCAGAAAGGGTAGGATAGAAGGATGAACAGAAATGAGAGTTATAAGGAGCAAGTTGGAAAGTGCAATTTACATTGTGGGCTACTGTAGTTAATGTTATAAAACAAAATGGGTACAAACGATCAAAGGAAAACCATTTAACTTTGTACTGTTGACTCAAATCACAATTAAAAGAAGTAAAATCATGCACATACATGAGAGGAATTTATCCTTTTGCCTCTCTAGAAGCCAGAAGTCTAAAATAAAGGTCTTGGTGGGTCATATTTTCTCTTGAGTGTCCTAGGAAAGAATCCTTCCTTTTCTTTCCAATCTCTGCCTCTCTTTCCCAATGAATATCTTGCATCTCACTTTTGGGTCCCTGAAAAGACACTAGGGAGCTCTAGTGGCTTAGTGGTAAGGAGTTGGATCCCAGAGGTAAGCAGTTCAAATCTACCAGCTGCTCTGTGGGAGAAAGATGGGTATCCTCCTTCTATGTGAGTTATAGTCTCTGAAAACCCACTGGAGGGTCAGCTATGGGTCAGTTCTGACTCTATGGTATACAATAACAACAACTACATAAAAGACACCAATCATTTGGTTTAGGGTCCAACCTAACCCTTCATTGTACCTGTAAAGACTCTATTTCAAAATAAGATCACATCCTGAGGTTCAGGTCAGGCAGGGAATTTTACAGGACACAAGTCAGCCCTGGAATCCTGGTTATGCAGTGGTTAAAGCATTTGGCTGGTAATAAAAAGGTGGTGGTTGTTATATGTGTCAAATCAACTACTACTCATAGCATCCCTATGCATAATAGCTCTGAACCTTGCTCTATCCTGAGCCAATCTCACTGTCTCTGACACACCTGCCCTCATCATCCCAGTTATTGTGTTATCCATCTTATCCTGGGTCTCCCTTTCCTGTTCTGTCCTTCCACTCTTCCAAGCATGATGTCATTCCCCAAGGGAATATGCCCTAAGTACATGAGACAGATCCTCAAAATCCTTACCTCCATGGAACAACTTGGTTTCACTCTAAGACAGACCTGCTTTTTCTTCTGGCCATCCACAGGATGTTTAGTACTCTTCTTTAGCTGGGTCAAACCCAGAAGCTGCTCTCGAGAAGGAAGTCAAAGCCCATGTAAGCTCTGCTCTGCTCTGGCCTGCACTAGTCAGAGTCAGTTTGATGGTAGTGGTTAAGTGAGTTTTTGAGTGTTCCATGCCACTATATTACTACTCTGTTGGGAGATTCATGGGATGAAAACTTTTCAAGATCCTAGCAGATGGGGTGTTTCCTAAGAGTATCTAATAACCTTCTCAACAGGGGCCCATTTGGAGGACTTGTCTTTGAGTGACTGTGCATGTGGGGAGTATGACCCAATGAAGGAGCATCTGTCTTAAGTCCTGAAAGATGGAAACAGGAATGTTCTAGAACCTTCTTTTTTACCCCTTTGTCATGATTTAGCTGAAACTTCACTAGGCAAAATTATTTTCCCCTCAGGGATTCATATACATTTTGTTTTATGACATTCATTACAGTGCCCACAATGTAACTGCACTCTTCACATGTCCCCGGGAATTCTTGTTTCCACTAATCCTTTTACTATACCCTCTTCTGCTTTCTAAATTCTATCCTTGGTTAAATACTCACCTTTTGACCTCAACTAGTTGTTGTTTTAAAGCGTGAGTGCTCCTTGGTTTTATTGATGTCTATCTGGTTGGTGTTATTGGTCACCTAAGAGGTCTGTCCAGCATTTGGTTGAAAGTTGAGCCACAGGATGCGTTTTACTCCAGGCTCAAAGGGCGTCCAGTGGTCCTGCTAATTTTTGAGTTTGAGTCTTGCTCTGCATTTCCTCCACTCTGTCAGGACCTTCTACAGTGATTCCTTTGAGAGTGGTCAGTGGTGGGACTTGGGTCTAGAACATTCCTAAGAAAGCAGAGACTCCCTTAGGCACAGTGATGTGAAGCAGTTATGGAACTCAGGCCTCTAGCATTGTCTAGGGTCTCCTCTTTGCTGCAGGGCTTGGAACATGGTCTCCTCCCACTGGACCTTAGACCAAAACCCCATAGCTATGGGAGGAGCTGCCAGGGGTGGGCTGAAATAAGATATTTCGAAAATCAAGGGCTTGAAACTGTGATCACTTTCCCTGCCCTGGAGAGCTGGCCTGGCCTGGGCTGCATCCCATGAGTTATGTCTGAGCTGAGTCCTGTGACAAACTCACATGATTGGTAGGGAGAAGCATTATTCAGTGATATGAATGTAATGGAGCAAACACCGGACCCTAAGATTGGAAACTGGGAAAAAAAGAAGCAGGAAGAAAATAAAAGATGCATAGATACAATTAAGATGCATGGATGTAATTAAGATTCATTGACACAGTCCACAGAACTGGTGTGGAAGGGACATTGCCCATGAATATCAGAGAAGAGTTGTGCTTCCTGTGGACGACAGTTTTTCATAACTAGATTGCCAGGCATTTCTCTCTAGGAGCCTATGGTGGATCCTCACTTTCAGCCTTGTCTATCAGTAGGTTCTTGAACCACTCATACCACCCAGGGATGGCCCCAGGGTAAAGGGTCTGCTTGTCCCCACTTAGCAACTCTGCCACCTCTGGCCCGCGAGGATGGACTCTCAGGTAACAGCTGTGTTCCAGGGCTCCCATGTGACCCGATGGCCTGGCATCTACCTGCTGCAGTGGCAGATCCATGGGATTCCCAGTGGCTTGGCCTACAGTCTGCCAGGAGTGGATGGTGTCCTGACTGCACTCCACAGCCCTGAGACCAAGTGCAAACTTCTTTACTACTACGATGTGCTCTCATCAGAGGACTTCAGGTCAGTGAGATGGGGCTGGCATGTCCCTGGAGGCTAGAGACTCTGTGGGTTTGGATGTGGGATGTCACCTGCAGTTGGATATCCAGTGTGCTGGCTCTTCCTATAGCTGAGGAGTCCTGTAGCACAGTGGCCAAAGAATCCTGCTGCTAACTGAAAGGATGTCAGTTCAACCTACCACTGTCTCTGCCTTCATAAAGCTCCTCTGCTTTGGAAACCCTACAGGAAAGTTTCCTTTATCTGGAGTGATGACATTGAATGGGGCTGGGCTCTAGGAAGGACTTCAGCAACAAGTGACCTTGAGTTGCTGCTTTTGATTTGACTTGATTCTGTAGTATAGAACTGCCCTATATGGTTTCAGAAGAGAGCAACAGGCCTTTCCCCTAAGGTCCTTGATGGTGGGATTTAACCAACAACCTTTCAGGTAGTGATCTAGTGCTTAGATCATACAGATCTGGGGGGGGGTTGGGGGGAGCTGAGATGCCACTCTCTTCACCAGCTCTGATGATGCTGAAGTCCCTTGCCATCATTATCTGTTGTCAGTTGACTCTGATGCCTGGTGACCCCGTGCAGGGCAGGGGTTGCCCATAGGAGTTTCAGGTTGTGACTCTTGGATAGCGGTCCAATGTTAGCTGTTTGTGACATTTTGTGATTCTAGTACTTTGCTTAAGGAAACTCACTTATCCAACATTTAGCAAGCAGAAGGAAACAAGACTGACAAGTTTAGGGCTCTGGTGCTTGGAAGTTTGGAGGAGTTAGCCTAACATGGAGCAGTGGAAAGGAGAGAGTCTTTAGGGATGGGGTGGTCAGACCCAGAGACCAAACACACTGCAATCAGGTGGCTGCTGACCCATGGCAACCTTTGGGTTCTCCCTCCTTCTCCATCAGAGCGACTGGTGGATTCTAGCTCCAGCTTTTTAGTAAGTAGATACACTGAGCTTCATGATACCAGCCCCCCTTAACATCATATGCATAGGTCCTTAGACTGGACAGCAGAGAGTGGCAGGGTAGGGAGGTAAGGCTGTAGGGCCTGGACACTGATCAGGCCAGTGGGAGGAGCCCAATGGTTCGAGCTCTGTCTGGGAGTAGCTCTGGGGAGCCACTATAAAGTATAAACTATACTTTATTCCCATCACTGTGTCTCTAGCTTTCCCTCTCCACTGGCCTGGTCCCCAGAGGTTTCCAGTCTCACAGGGTGAGCCCTAGGACCTCATTTTGTGGTTGCAAATGCTGAGCCTTCTTCCCAGGGCTGTATTTCAGAGCCTGGGACTGTGTTGCCACCAACAGGTAATGGCATTCCCTGTCTCCCCAGGGGCTCCATGTCCAGTCTGGAATCCTGCACCAGTGGCTTCTCCCAGCTCAGTGTTGCCACCTCCATATCCTCTTCTTCCTCCTGCCAGTCACACAGCAGCTCGCTGGGTGCTAGATAGTGCCTGCCTCGGCCCTCTGGCAGAAACCTATCAACTGAGGGCCATGTGTGCTGGTGACCTGGGCCCATTGCCACAGAGCTTGGAATCTGGTCTGGGTGCCATCTGGGTCCAGGCTCTGGAGGTTGCAAGTGACAGAACCATGTAATGGAGATCAAGGGGGTAGTTCTGACCACTGAAGGTCCACTTGGGTCTTGGGCCTTTAAATAATGATGTTGTCAGAACCCATCCTACTTTTTGCACATCATGCTCTCCTTTCTTCTGGGTCCTCTTCTTTCTCAGGCAGGGATTCCTCAAGCTAGAAAACCCCATCACCTGCTTCAGGAGAGAATTTTGTCTCTGGAATATTCTAGAACATTCTGTCCTGAATTTGAGTTTCTTCTGCTTGAGTACTGCCCTCCATACATTCCTGAGCCAGTTGTGATTGCCTGAAGAACAGAAGGTCAGAAGCAGGGTCACATGACCAGGGTGCATGTGCAATGAATGGTCAGTCTGGGTCACATGTACACTTATGAAGTAAGAGGCAAGATGGCAGGGGTTCACAGGCATCTGCTACTGTAGGGTGTCCATTGTTCTAAGATGCATGTGATTGAGTGGTTATATGTGTCCTGCTTTAATGGGCAGGAGTCTAGCCTGGAAGGAAAAGCTGTAGTAGAGACGAGAGTGTTCAGGTCAGGAAGGGTCAGACTCCCAGCAGAAGAGTTGCTGGCCCAGCTGCACCACCAGCAGATGCTCATTGTGCTGTCCAGTCTGGTTCTGCTCCCTTCACCAACAACTTCACTCTGTTCTTGGGAGGCTCCAAATGGAAAGCCAAAAGTGGGACTGCCAAACCTTTTGGCTTTAGGTACCTCCCAGTCCCGAGGCCTAGCAGTGCCCTTGGAAAGGAGCTGACTTCTTTTCCCATCGTCACCCATTATAGTCAGAATAGCAGTAGCAGCTATACCTGAGGAATCTGAGCTCTGAGTTTAGATGGGGGAGTATAGGGGTTAAACTGACCAAGGCTTAAGCTGCTTGGGTGAAGACAAAACCAACACTGGGATGCTTCAAGAACTTGAAGATGCTGAAGCTGTCTTCTGTTGAAGATGAAACAGGAAATGCCAGCAAATGAGAATTAAAAAAAAATAACAAAACCTAGTAAAAAACATTTTGAAGTCCAGTTAACATATTTTACTGTTTATATAATAAGAAACTTGTCAATAAAAGCTACAAGAACTAAAAGTCATGAAAACCCTCAGGCATGAGCTTCTCTCCCCTCACCTTTGATTAAGGAGAGTCTTGAGGAGTTCATTCCTATCGTTGCTGCTGGTCAGAGAAAAGTGTGACATATGATGATCCTGACATGATATGAGAGCAGCAGGGGAGTGTCTAAACTCTAGCCTTCCTTTCGTTTGCTGTGTTACCATGAGAAATCAACTTAATGTCTTCATGTATCAGTTTCTTCATCTGTATAATGGGACAGCAGTGTCTACCACATTGGTGTGTAGTGGGACTAACGGAGATAAATGGCTGGGAACTCCTCAGTGTAGGATTATCTAACAGGCAGCCCTTGATAAATGGCAGCTGTTATTACAATTACATAATGCTTCTTACCCAAAGATTTCAGGGTTCTATCAAAGACCCTTGTCACTGTTTTAAATGAATGATAAGGGCTCAGAGTGCTGCATAGTTCCAGGGAAAAGTGGGTGTCAAACTAGTCATTCTGTCTTGGTTGCTGAGCAGTCAGCTTCTTCTCCCTTTTGGAAACAGCTTCCATTTTCTGGAATCTGCAAATTCACTAATCCCAAAAGACACCTATCTGAGTAGTTATTTCTCCCTCAGTAGCTAGAAAATGATTTCTCCACAGGTTGGAATAACCACCCAAACCAAATCCAGTGCTGTTGAGTCAGTTTCAAATCATGGTAGCCCTGCACTGGGTTTCTGAGGCTGTAAATCTGATGGGAGACGACTGTGTGTCTTTCTCAAGAAGAGCAGCTGGTGGATTTGAATCGCTGATCTTTTAGTTAGCAGTGCAACACCATATAACTTTAGCTTTACTTTGTATTCTCTAGCAATTTTTCTTCTCTGTGAAATTAATTGTTCAATGACTACAGCATACAGGTATACCTGGGAGGTAGTGTGGGTTTGATTCACACCATAGTAGGTAATAAAGCTAAGATCACAATAAGGTGAGTAACACAAATGTTCTGTCTTCCCAGAGCATGTCAGGTTATGTTGGCATTAGATCGCAGCCTACAGAATGTACACTGGCCTGATAAGAAGCTGGACACATTGTGAGAATGACCAAAATGTGACCTAGATGCATGAAGTGAGCCCATGCTGATGGCACTAAAAGATGGCGCCTACTTGATGTAGGATTGCCTCAAACCTTTGTCAAAACAAAACAAACTAACCAATCAGCCCACAACATCTGTGAAATCCAGTGAAGGAAGATATGTCTGAACTTCATTTTTCAAAGTCTGTTTCAGCCAATAAGAGATATGCTTTTTATTCCTGCCTGATAATTGATTTCAAACAACGGCATTAAATGTTTTAGATTTGGCTATACCTCTCAAGAACCTCAGGAGGGCCTATGTCACCCCCATGGGCTCTAATGCTGGATCTTGGAGTAGTGGCCATATTGTGCATATAAAGCACAAACACAGGGACATCCAAAGATACACAGAGAGAATATTGACGATGTTAAAATTTAGTGGAGGGTTGTATGAGAAAGAAGAAAAAAGTCAGAAGTGCCTTCTGAAGACAAAATCCCCAACTAGGCAGAGTAGTGTTGACAACTCAAGGCGACCCCATGTGTGTCAAAGTAGAACTGTATACCCTGGGGTTCTTTTAAAAAAAATCTTGATCTCTTTTTAAAAATTTATTATTAATTTCAATGAAAATTTACAGAGACTTTGGATTTCCATTCATTCATTGTTGCACTTTTCTCCTCTCCCCCCGCCCCCAGTACACTCTCCTGTTGGAAAAGTAAAAGAAAAATTCTTTCATTGTTTTACGATCCCTCCCTCCAGGTCCACTCCACTATGTAGCCTTCGCTCTTGACTCCTGTCATGACAAAAATACCCAATCACATATCCCTTTTAAACAGTTTTCTCCCTCACCTGTTTCAATGCAGTGTACATTATTGAACTCATCTTTCTTAGTCTCCCCCCAACCCCGATGTCAGTCCTGTTTTACAACAGTGGCACCATGCAGCATTTGTCCTTTTGTGACTTAGATTCTTCATTTAGCATAATGTCCTCCAGGATTACCCATTTTGAATAATATTGTATGGGTTCCTTGTTTTTCAGTGCAGCAGAGTATTCAATTGTGGGAACATACCACAGCTTCTCTATCCATTCGTTTGTTACTTAGGTTGTTTCCAACTCCTTGCTATTGTGAACAAAACCGTGATAAACATGGGTGTGCATAGCGGCCTCTTGTTGAATTGATGCCATGTGGCCTGCACCGGGACTGCTTGGGACTAATCCTTGGGGTTTATGGGGTGTTGTTGACTGGGAACCAGAGGCAGGAGCTCCTCACAGTCTTCTGTCCAGGCTAACATCAGTCTTGGCTGTGTATTGTTTAACTATCCCCGAGGTCTCATGGTCTCTTGGCCTAGAAGCCAAGGACAGCAGGGTGCTGACACCCTGTCCAGAATGTGACCTACACTTTATGTGGGCACCTGCCCTGGGAGAAAAGGTTTTGGCTGTGACAAAGAGCACAGGGCATTCAGAGCCATTGTCTGAACCCTTGTTGGGGTGAGAAGATGATACGTTGTTCCCTTGTGTGCTGGTGGAGGCCTCCTTGTCTACTCCTGTTGATACCTGTCTGCACCAGTTTCTGTTTCCCTGCTGAGTCCCTGCCTCACACATCCATTGCAACGGGGAGCACCCTTACTTGCTGTGAAACAAAGCAGTAATTTCCTGTGAATAGGCATGAGTCCATTTAACCATCGGTAAGTGAGTTTAAAGACACAGCTGACATGTAGAAGTGGCCCCAGCAGACCAAGCCCGAGCCACCAGGGAGAAGGGCCTCTGGAAGGCATCACTGCTGACGTACATTTTGGCTAGGAGCTTCTCCTGAGGTTTGGGCCCAGAGGCCACAGCGTCACACAGAGGATGCCTGTGTGGCAAATTCTTCCTCTTAAATGGACCCCTTCTGTTCTCTGAGGAGCCAGAGGCCAGCTCTGGGCCATGGTAACCATGTGGAGCTGGTGCAAGGCCAGGAAGAATGCCTGAGGACTGTGATCCAATCTCCTTTGAGCCATCTCTCCTCTCCCCTCCCCTCCCCTCCCCTCCCCTCCCCTTCCCTTCCCTTCTCCTCTCTCCTTTCCTCTCCCCAGGACCTCTACTTCATTTAGGCCTTTTTGGTGGGGGTGTCTCCCAGCAAGCACACATTGAAGCGTCTGGATGAAGTTTTCTGGAGTCAAGTTTTTCTCAGATAGAATTGAATACAAGTTGTGGACAAGCACAGATGCACATAGAATTGTATAATGAACTCATCAACATGTAAACCATCATGCACTCAATAAGCACACATCCATATGTGTGCACATACATTTTTTTTAACAATTTTAATGAAAATTTACGGAGATTTTGGATTTCCATTCATTCATTGCTGCACTTCTCTCTCCGCCCAACCCTCCCCTATCCCCACACACATTTTTTTAAACACACACTCTTTCATGCACCAACATGCACATTCTCAATAGTACAATTTCAATCTATGTATGTATGTATTTATTTATTTATTTTCTACTAGTTTATTTATGAAATTCAAGTACAAATTTGAATAAATTCTTTCTATTTCCCTCACCCCCCAATCAAATTGTACAACCCAATGATTAATTCTCCTTTCCCCCTGCACATCCACATTCCTCTGCTTCCAGCCTCTCCCACGCCTCCTGGATCCTTATACTCATTCTACAATATGGTTTTATACAATATTTATCCTTAGGGGACTGAGTTAGTTCACTCAATATAATGCTCTCCAGTCCCTCTCAAGTTAGGTAATAATTAGCAAAA